TTCCTGCTTTGTTTTCGGCCGATTTTGCTTGCCATCGAAAGCGCTTTATGTGTCTCCGAGTTCAGCAGCCAAAGCCAGGCGCTCGCGCCAGCCTTGTGGGTTCAACCCGTAGGCCCGCGATGGCTCTGCTGCAGTGCTGCTTTGAAAGTCTGCGGCTGAGCTGATCCACGGCGGTGTATTGACGGATTTGGAGCCCTGCTTAGGGTCAGCTTGAGTGCTTGCAAAGCTAGCAGGGGTTGAGTGTGTAAATCTAGATGTGGCTTCGTGTGGCTTTGTATGCCACTGACTTCAAATTGGCTGTCAAGGTGCCGACTATGTTGAGCTGATCTCCTACGAAGATGACATTCAAGATGGCCACGCGCAGCGCTTGGTGGAGACACAAGAGGAGTTGTCGGAGCTCAGTGTAGACAGGAGTAGACCATGGAAACACAATTTCTTAGGAGGAAGTCCGGAAGGAGGATGTGAACAGAGCCTAGTTGCTTGAACAACTCCTCCACCCAGTGCTTGGTATGCACATCGCAGTGGAGATTGCTAGGAATGTCGACCAGTTGTCGTACACAAGCAGCCAAAACGCCACAGATAGCCACATAGCGTTGTGTTGCCCTGCCCGAGCGCTCTAAGCCCGAAGCATGCCAGCTTTCCCAGAGTGTAAGACGCTTCCTTGCCTCGCGCTATGCTCTAGAGGTCACGAGAACGCTGAGCAAGATGCAGGAGCAGCCGGGGGGTATGCTGACCTCGGCAGATTTACTTGTAGCGCTCCGTTGAACAGGACTCATGTGCCACCCTTTCAAGGCCTCAGGTGCTGGGACAGAAAGCCAAGCGCAGAATACTTTTGCGTTTTCCAGAGCCGTTCTGGCTCAGACTCGTGAGCCTTTCGCTGAGAGCTGCGAAGCTGGCACAGAGATGCCGGCACGGCGAAAGGCCGCCAAAGGCTTGCTACTGCTTGCAGCATTGCTGGCCCCACGTTCCAGCGCTTTCTCCCCCTTCACGAATGGCCCAACTCCAGGTCTTACAGCAGCAGCAGCGCTCTTGCTGCTGGCTCTAGTGCTTGTACTGCCCATGCTTCCGCCGCTGCTCGTGTACTGGCGGGTGCTGTTTTTCTTTTGGTTTGGCGGAAGATATGCAGATGCTCGCACGCGCTTTGCGCTGGGAGGCATGAGCTGCAGCCACCTCTACAGCCTCGCTATGGTACCATGGCTGATGACAAAGCCGCACTATCGCACGGGTACTTTCCAGCAGGATATGCTCACCAACCTGCGAAATGTGGTGTTGCCTACGGGCGTCTACGGCCTTCCCTTGTCCATTTGGGCCAGGAGCCGGTTGCACGCCTACTTCGCCATTCTCTTCGTTATCCCTGTGGCAGCTTTCGTGGGCTCATGGTACCGAAGGCTCGGAGGCATGGACTCCGCGGTGGCCTGCTTTAGAAGGAGCCTCTTGGAGCCCAAGGATTGGTTTCAGCTCTGGCGACTGAACTGTCGCCTGGCGTCCATGACTGCCTTGGCCACCAAAAGCCCGGACTTCGACATGGAGAGCAAGTGGAGCTTCATCCAGGGCTGTCTGAAGAATGACCTCCCAACCACCCCGGTTCTGGAGACCCCGAAGACCTTGGTGGCCAAGGATGTGAACGAAGAGGGAGGCATGGGCATCCACGTCTTGCCCAATGTCCTGCACGGTGGGTGCTGGCTGTTGCAAGAGAAGCTAGACAACCACCCGGAAGTCCAGAAGCTGCTGCCCAAGGACAGCCCCCTGTCCACCATGCGAGTTGTCACGGGCTCCACCGGAGCTTTGAAGCTCCTGGGGCGCCCGGCCGAGGGGAAGCTGGCCACCGCGCTCTGCGCGGTGTGGCGCGCCGGGCGCGCGGGCGCCTCCACGGACCACAGCTGCGTCATGGTGGACGTGCCCGAGCCGCTCACGGAGGAGACGCTGGGCACCGGGAGCAGCTCCGCCCATTGGTACGCCTCCGGCTTCAAGTCCCTGGGGAAGCCGCTGAGCACCGCGGACGGCGCCCTGGTGCACCACCCCGACACCGCGCTGTGCCTCCGCGGTTGCAAGCTGCCGAAGGTCAGGGAGGCGCTAGAGCTTTGCGAGCGATCCCACGAGATCCTCATCCCCTCGGTGCCGATGGCCGGATGGGACGTGGCCTTTGTGGATGAGGGCGGAGGACCCCCCAAGCTGGTGCTGCTTGAGGCGAACCTCTCCTGCAACTTCTTCCGCGGCACTGTGAACTGGGAGAAGTACGGGCAGCTGCTGGACCAGCACTTTGCTGCCCTCGACGCCCACTTCTTCGGCTGATCCAATTCCCGGGTCTGCCCGGATCTTCGCGCCGGTTGGGTGCGCCCGGTGCCACTTAAGCTGGCAGGAGCAGAAGAGTGAAGCGGTTGTAAAAAGCAGACGAGCAAAGCGCGCTGCTTCAGCCTGCAGCATGGGTTCGGGAGGGTTGGTGGACTCGCCGCTTGGAGGAACCTGCACGGCCACCACGGCGACTGCCGGAGATCATTTGCGCCATCACCGTCACGCTGCGCGGAGCCCAGGAGTAGAACGTGCCAAGAGGGTTGAGCGTTTCATGTCGCCCAAAACAGGGCGCAGCCCCGCCGAACAAGTGGTTTGCGTGGCAAGACATTTGAAACACTGCAAGAGAGGAAGGCTACCGGTGGGCAGAAAGACCACCGGAGGAGAGCTGGAAGACTACCACAAGACCACCGAGCGCGGAAGCATCCTGCAATAAGCAATAAGTCTGCCTGGGTAAAAACTGCCACCGTGAACTCAGGGGCTTTGTGCCCAGTGCAAAATATGCGAAGGATGCGCGAGTTGCTCGCGCCACTCGAGGCTGGGCTTTGCAGCGGGGGCCATGCTCGGGCAACAGCAGCGGCCTGAGGGCTCCTGCTCGGAGCCAACTCCGTCGCGGTGGTTTTGGTTGAGGGTACCCTTTTAAAGCGGGTTTAAATGAAAGCCACAAGGAGAACTTTGAAGGGTCCCCTGTCATGGGGCACTCTGATAGCCTAGGCTTTGGATTGTGATCCGGCTCCGTCGAAGCCTCGAGCGATGAGCCTTCATGGCATCCACAGAGAAGGGCTGAGAGAGTGGGCCTGTTTCCTTTGACCCCACTGGAGCTGGGCAGTTGGGCAACTGTGGCTTGTGCGTGTCGGCTTGAATCGTGCATGCCTTTCTTTGACTGCTTGGGACTGCGGGATGGACACGCAAACGCACCAACAAACACACACACACACACAAACAATCAGTCAATCAATAAAACAAACAAACAAGCAAGCAAACAAGCAAACAATCAAACGCACAAACATGCAAACAGACAAGCACAGACAAACGCACGCAAACAGACAAACAGACAAGCACACAAACACAAAAACACCACAGACACGCGCACAGAGAGAGAGAGAGAGGGAGAGAGAGAGACACACACACACAGACACACACACACAGACACACACACACACACAATCACACACAGCTGCGCACGCACACACACGCACACAAACAAACACAGACACAGACACAATAACATCGTCCAGGATCATTGGAAGCACCTTCTATAGGGGTCAGACTTTGCATGCCAAAAGAGAGAGTCGGTTAGATGCATGCTCTACTAATCCTAATCCTGTTCTCTTGTATTGTATTCTTGTGGTCGCATGTTGCACAGACGGACAGCCAAAGAAGAAGGTACAAAGATAGGCGCAAAGGCGCGGAAAGACCTTGGCGAATGTAAAAAGACAGACGCAAACTTTACAGCAATCTAGATGCTGCTTTTTGATCAGAGATCATGGCCAGCCGCGAGCCCCTTTTTTTTTTGCCGCACTGTCCTTGTGGTGACCTGGGGGGTGCTGCACGTGTCTCTGAGGCACCCACGAGTGGTGTCAGGACTGAGGGTTGGTGGATGGAGCCTGGGGCTGTGATTTTTGTTCCGTGAGTCCAACGTTTTAGTTGTTGGCCTGGTTCAGAGGCGCACAGCAATGTGGTCGCTTGGTTGCTCGCAAGCTGATCCATCCGGAGGATGCTCCCACTGCCAGCAGCCAAGTTGCGTCAAGTCGCTAAAGTGCTGGAGTCCTGCGGGGCCGGATGGCAGGCGCTGGCTATTTCATCGCCACCAGACCTGCCACGAGGAAATATTTTTGTCTGGCGGCAGCAACCGTTTAGAGTTGCTCGCCAGGTCTATTCGCTTGACCTTCCTTGCTGCGCAACAAGCAAATGTGCGGAAGGGTCAGCAACGGTCAGTGAGAACAATTCGAACCCTCGAAGTGGCGCAGGTCAAGCATACATCTTGCATCATGTTCTGCACTTGGGACTAGGCCATATTTGACCCCCTTGCTTCTTTCCAGCCCTTGGCTGCTCTTTTGCGTGACCTTTGTCGCTTTCCAAGTATTCCTATGCTCCAACTCACCGTCCAGGCGCAGGCTGCAAGCGACTGCGACTGCTGAGGTGAACTCCTTGGGCCTGGATGCGGCGCATCTCGGGAAGCCGCTGGGCCGCAGGGCGCGGGGGGCGCAGGGGGCGCAGAAAGCGCCCCAGAGCGGGCGCACGCCATGAGTCAATGAGCGTATGCGGGCTGAGCGATGTAGCATCCCCATTTCACATGTTGTGTGTTTGAGGGAGGACAGCAGTTTATGCACAAGCGGGTCGAGTTGTCCAGCTCCATTTTGTGTGGGAGTGGGATACAATGGGATGGTCAAATATGGCTTGCCTTTCAATCCAATACACATTTTTTTGGTATCGTAGTGTAGAAATTCGCCTGCGCCAAGGACACAGCAACAACTTGAAGGATTCTAGGGGGGTGGGGCTACGTTCTCTAAGAAGAACCAAGAGGCGTAACTTTTCTCCTGGCAGCGTATTTGTACAGCTGCTTGTTTGCTACACATCGTATTCGTGTATGCGCACGTATGATGTGGCACATGGGCTCATGCTGGTGATGTACATGACACTCATGCATACAATAGACGAGTTGGCCCAAGCTAGCTTTCCGTTTGGCCTCGTTTGCCTTGGTCGACTTCATGCTTGCGTGCTGTTGCCAGGCAGATTCGGAGACGGCTCTGGCAGTGCCGGAGCTGGTGACTTCGACTCCGGCTGTGCCCAAGTCGGGCGTCAAGGCGGCTGAGCCAGAACCAGATGTGGCAGAAGCGCCGGCCCCAAGCACGCCCGGTCAAATGGAGCGCACAGCTTGGGGGAGCTTCACGATGACACTGCAGTACACGGCTGGCCAGAAGCTGGGGCTGAGCCTGGACTTTTCTGACGAGAAGTATTGCATTGTCAGAGGCGTCGCTCCAGAGGGCCTGGCGGCAGCCTGGAACCAGACTTGTGCCCAGGATCAGGTGATCCGTGAATGGCATCGGCTCAAGGCTGTGAATGGCCAACAGGGCAGTTGCCAGGAGTTGCTACGAGAAATGCAGAGCGCCATTCAAAGCCGTGGTGAGTTCGAACTTTCCTTTGAAGCACCTGTCAAGATCTCTGTCAACATCAAAAAGGAATCTGACGACTTGGGGATGGCGCTGGTGGCCAAAAAGAGCTTTGTGGGCATCAACGGCGTTACCGGTGGCGGAGCCATCCAGGCCCACAACAACTCCGCGCCGGACAGAACAGTTGGACCGTCGTCACGGATTGTAGAAGTCAATGGGAGCCCCGCGGCTGGAGAGGTTATGCTGAAGACCATGCTCGAAGAGAAGGACTTCAGCCTCACCATCCTCAACTGGTCGACGTAGGCGCTACCAAAAACCGAACCTTGAGGTCAGGCCTGCGATGCTCTTGCATCACCCGGGGCTATTTTTCCCACGGTACATTGCAACACTCGCTCGCGAAGCGACAGTGCTGAGTGTGGCCTTTGCCCCCTGTGCCCTTTTGCAGGAGCTGGAGCTGGGGCCAGCTAGCGGCACTCGCCGAAGCATTATCATGTAAGAGAGATGGAGCGATTTCCGTCTGATGAGATCATGGAAAGCAACAACAATACATGCACACACACACAACATGCGTGCTTGTTCATGCGCGCTTGAAGATTGATTTGTTGTTGCCGAGGTCGACGCATGCTTTGCTGGCCTGATTGTCCTGCAGTCACTGGAGACTTTGAATAGCGAGAGAACTCGCTGGCGCAAGTGGCCAGTGTTGAGACAGCCACGGGAATGGAAGCATGGATGGCAGATAACACAGGACAACTAGTGGCTTGGTATGCGTCACTTAGTTCGATCGGAGCTTAGAAGCAGGTCCAGGTAAGCACACAAATCCTGATCCAACTCAAATTGCAGTCCTTTGCAAAGCATCTTTAGCCTCTGATGGACGAAGTCCCTCTCGGCTCTGACGGGCACTCTGGCCAGGCCTTCTACTGCAACCACCTGCGCGAGGAGCCCAGCGCGGGTCCTCAGGTTCTGGGGGCGACTCGACCGGAGACCCATCGCAGTTCTGCTTCGGATCGGCTCCACGGGGTGTGGCCTTGGCCCCTGTGCAGTGAATGGTCTCGAATGCTGTGGGCAAACGCACGGGGGGAAAGCTTGTAAGCATACGAGACACCGTGGCACCGCGATTGCTCAGTCGAGGTGTTGAGTCAGCAGTTGCTGTCATCGCGGCGATGTGTGTCGGGCCGCTGACGCTCTATGCCTCCTTCGGTGCGCTTGGGGAACGGGAGCGAGGGACCTGAAAGGCCAAGGGCACACTTCGACCAGATCAAGGTTTGGGAAGATACATTTTAATGCTGTTCACGCATGTGTTGAGTCCTAGAGCGTCAACTGTTTGATGGATGGAGGCTCAGGGTTCCGACACACCATATTTGTCCCGTGGTCGTGAACTTCTATCAATTTTGCTTGGGCTTCAAAAAAAAACAACACCCACCCAAAGAAGGAACAACGGGTGCCACTTGACGGGATACCTGAAGCCCATGCAAGCCAATCAGAGAGCAGATGGCGATACCAAGTTTTCGGCCGACACGTGGAGTGTCTTGCGCAACCGCGCAACCGTTTCAATATTTTGGCCAGAGGGAAGCTTAGGACCTACCAAGCCAACCCTTCACAGTCTTGCAGCGCAGGCTGAACAAATGCCGAGATTTGCCCAGATGAGTTGAGGAGAATATCCGCGGCCGGTTTTGCGCACAGGTTCTTCCTACTTTGCTTCGTGGACTGAAGAAGAGGAGTCGGCAGCCGAGGTGATTTGGCACTTTTCTGTGCACAACCAGCAGGGAGCAGCGGGCAGAAGCACGGCTCTAGGAAAATGGCACAATCATTCCTTCCCTTTTGCTCACAGCAAGTCTAATCAGCCCAGAAAGATTTGGGCACGGATCAAAATTAAACCACCAGGGGACCGCAGGTTTTAGCCTATGTTTCCATTTGCCAGGGTTCATTTTGGGTACATATTTTTGACCCACACCCATTTTCTTTTGAGCTTGACAGCAAGTCTCTGCCGGACCAGGCCAGGTAGCATTTGAACAGAGGCCGATGGCACGAGAAGTTGGTCAGAGTTTGGCAGTCGAAGCCTGGGCCGTGGCCCAGGCTTTTGGAGCTGGAGCGCCTCTACAGAGAGAGAGGCAGGCGGAGATATTGCCCCTTGGAGGTTTTGTTAGATACTGAGTCTGGTTGAAACGGACTCATTGATTGAAGGCGCGACATGTGAACATGACTGGTGTCAACTTTGTATGAGCCCTTGGCATTCCACGCAGTGCAGCGCCAGCTATCTTTGGCCAAAGTTAGCTGTCAGTTTGAAGGACTATCGGATGATCTTTCGCCATTTTGCAGCACCACTCGTGCTTTGCTGGGCTGGCACAACTTCAACTTCATGGTGTTTCTCATCTCCCAAAATCAATGCTTTACTGGGGGTATTTCGCGCTGATTTAGACTTGTCAAAATCGTGTGATGATACTATTGTCTCATGTCTGAGAACGTTGCAGTCAATTTCTCTCCGTAAGTCAAGCTGCTGCAAGGCCGTGGAGAGAGCATAGTGCTGTCCTGGCCCTAGACAGAGCAGAGTGAAGACGATGGCAATGCCAAGCTGGTAGGTGTTTGGTATATCCGCTGCGGCATGGTTGAGCTTCTGAATGTTGTGACTGTGAACCTGAAAGATTATGGCCGCGATCACGACATGCATATGCTGTGGAGGTGTAGAGGTCACGTGTGGTTGCTTGCGGTTGTGCTATTGTCGTTTGAAGATGTACCATGATGCTTGTGGGGTCATTCAGTTTGCATTTTTGTGGTTGTGTCGTGTAGGCATTGGTTTTGAAATGGCCGAGCCGGCGTCGTGGTGTGGTCATCAGGGACTGCAATATGCAGTTGCTTTGGCAGGGGTGTGGCAGCGTCAAAGTTTGCTTGTCTTGTGGTCGTTCTCACTGTGCGGATTTAGCCGAAGCATCACTGAAGCTTCGGCGTTTAGCTTCGATTGCACGTATCGTTTTCCGCATACCCACAACCGCTTCCCAGTCACCACCAGTTGCCCATCAGTATTTGTTTGTTTAACTTGGTCTCCTAGCTTCATGATTTGCACTAAAGTGGGCCCAAGATACCGGGGTCCAAGGTCTTCCTGGAGGTGGTACCGTTGGGCCCACTTCGTCTTCGACATCCTGGTGGCACATTGGCCTTCGGGGAACGACTTCCGGATTGGACCGGGAAGCCATGAAGGGCGGCTCCTCTCAGGTGTGTCAACTTTGGGGTGCCCAACTTTTTGGGTGGTCTTAAAGGGAAACCGAGAGACACATGATCATGTTAAGGGTCCCCGTAAAACAAGGACCGACCCGTTTGCTGGAGTTAAAGGACACCCCAAGTTCCCTGATAAAGTTTAAGGTTGTGGGAAATCCTCGGTCCCGGACTGAAACTGCTCGTCACATCGACAGCATTTGGGGTGCTTGAGAGCGAGCTGTATGCAACTCTAGAACAGCCTAGGGTGTGTGGGGGGTGGGTTTTATTGTAACAAATCTGTTCAGATAGTCTGGAGAGAGCAACTCAGCAGGCGAAGAAACACCTAAGGGCAATGTCAGACCCAGAGACAGTATGAGCCACAAGCGGCAAACTAAAATGCTAGTGGCGAGATGAAAACCTCATTTTCCCAACCTCCCAAGGTCAAGACATGATCCACAGTTCACATGCAGGATCACTTGCTTGCACCTAGAGCGCATCACATGAAGTATTGAACTGTGCAGCTGGGGTTGCCGATGCTTGGATGAAGAGACATGAAACTGAGCCTTGTTGTTGCTTTCAGATGGCTCGTTGGAGAGAAAGGATTAGCCCGGATCATTTCTTCCCGAGGGTGGAAGGATAAGCAGCATGTGGCGAACCGCAGTCAATATTCAAAAAAGAGCATGCATACACACCAGCACACACACACACACATGCACATCCGCATATTCGTACACGTGTACCTTGCTTTGCACATGCCTAACTTTTACAGAGATGTATGTGTATATATCTATATATATATATATAGATGCAACCCACCGACCCCCCATGGACCCTGGTTTTACTGCCTTTTGGGGATGGTAAATCTAGACTCTCAAATCTAAATTCTCAAAATTTCCAATTGTGGGTCCCCAAAGCCTGATATTTTGGAGCCCGGAGTCCTCCATAATCTTTCCAAATAGGATTTAAGTTCAACTATAATTGGAATTTTGAATATAGTTTGGTAAGCATTTAGTTTTAAAAATGTGTTTATGTTCAATTGCAGATTGAATAAGCAAATCCTTGGCAAATAGGAGCTACATGAGAATGTAAGTATAGTTTCGGGTAAACTCCAATAATCTTTAACAAAGAAGTTATATAGGAGTTATTCCCAAATATAATCGAAGTGTTAAATATAAACAATTCAATTAGTGTTTGATAATTAAATAGAGACTACATCTCAAATACAATTCATATTCAATACGGCTAAACAGTTAAGGGACTTCTACAAGGAAATTCAGAATACGATGTGTTATTTACATTCTGGCCCTTTTGTAGCATAAGAAAGGTCTGAATTTGAACTTGTTAGACGGTGTTTGAAAAGGAAGTTTCAAGGGAAGAGAGGTTCAACTTCTAAAGCTATTTCAAAACAGGGATTCTAGCTAAATCAGTTGTATTTAAAGTTCTATTGGCAGGCAGTAGACGAGAAAATGTGGACAAGTAGTTTAAGGGGGGGGGGTGACGGTGTGTGAACATACATACATACATATGTATATATGTACCAGTCCCTGGGCCACGTCCCCCCCCCCCTTAATGGTATGGTCCCCCCACTCCCCCGCATCATCCGCATCTTGGGGATGATGCTGGCAATGCTGGGGATGCTGTCCAGTACCGTGTGAGCCCTGCAGCTTCGGTCCCAGACTCCCCCTTTCACCCCGTGAACCAACACCCCCGCACCTCTCGCAACATCCTACCCTAAACCAAACCACCCTGCAACCCCTCCTTAACCCCAACCCTAAGCCTAAATCAACCCAAACCCCAAACCCACCCGAAACCCACCGCAACCCTGAACCAACCCTGAACCAACCCTAAACCAACCCACCAAGCCTAAACCAACTCCGAACCACACCCCAACCACCCACCACCACCACCACCACCACCACCCCACCACCCCACCACCCCACCACCCACCCCACCCCACAGGGGGGGGGAGGGGGGGGGTCCACGGCCTGGAACATATATATATATATATAGACATCCATGCATATATATATATATATATATATATAGTACCCCAAATGATCCAGGGCTCCTTAAAAGATACATTTTGCCCATTTGAAACATGGCTTTTTCCACCA